AAAAAAAAAAAAAAAAAAAAAAAAAAAAGCAGCTGGAGTTTCCCAGTGGGTCGTGCCTCCAGAGACAGCTGGGGGCAGAAGCCAACTGGTCTGACATCTTGTACAGTGACAGGGAATTCTTTTAAACTACAAAAAAGATTTAAACTCTGGAAGCTGAATCACTGCTGGGTGGAAAACTGAGCATTACACATACATATATATATAAATATAAATATATATATATATATATATATATGCTTGTGTGTCAATTGGTTTTCTTGTAGGGTGAATATAGGTTTTTAAATCCAGACAGGAAATTTATGATCCCTAACTCTAATAATTTTTTTTTCCCTTTTTTTCAAAGAACTAATTGTAGAAGCAGCTTCTTGGCCACGGTTTACATGCAGCCCTACCCGCAGAGAAATACAGTTTCCATCTTTAAAGACACAAGTGAAACAATGAAATCCCTGAGGAGGTGAATGTTTGCCTTAGAGTCTTCCTTTGCTTCGTTTCACCTTTAAGGCTTGAACCCTGAAATGGTTTCAGTGCTAGTCTGAAGAACCAGCTATAACCAAAGTTCAGTTTCCCACAGTTCTTCCACTGCAAGGAAGGCAGGCGTTCACATCCCATTTGATTCATATATTAAAAGTTGGATTTTTCTACCACTCCCATATATTCCCAAGACATCAGACAGAACTCCATCTCATTGCATGGCTTTCTTCAGCTACGAGGATCAAATTTCTCACAGTATTCTGATAGCAGTCATAGCAGTGACAAAGAAAGTAGTAACACAACTTCACTCTCGCATGGTGGGTCCTTTTTAACACATCCATGTCACAGTACACCTTTATCCCACGCCAGTGCCTTTAAGAATTGATGTTAATACGAAAAAGACTGCAGCCAAACCCACTGTGTGGTCCCCAGAGTGGTCTACCAGCCCTTACACACCCAGACCACATCGCTCTCAGGAATGCCATCTGGGATTCGGTCATTCAGAAACAAACTTGTTAAACCCCATTTTCCAAAGTCCCGCGCACCCATCTTGGAATATTTACAATCTCACAGCTTGGCATCATGCAACACCTCTATCAACTACACTTAGAATACTTGGAAAAATTTATATCTCTATTCCTATAAATTGGCATCATGCATAACTATTACTTGAAAGGAGACCAATGAACTTGGGAGTGAGCTTTCTCTTGTTTGGGACAAGCCTACAGAGATACCTCTAATAACCCAAGTCAGACTCATTATCTCTGCATTCGTGAATTTCAATACAGCTACTATGTTTATAGGCATTACTAAGGCATATGTTACTTACACATTCTTTCATAGGCTCATGAATTTTAAACTGAAATAACCCAGAATGCCGGGAATGCAGTTAATTGACTTGCAAATTAGAAAAAAAAAACAAAAACTGTCATCATGCTTCTATATTATCATTAGCAGTTTTGAAGCCTGAAGATTATCTCTGATGTCAAATGCAGTGATGTTTGGTTTCAGCTCTTTATAGATTTGCCCCTCGTTTGGATGCTTTGGTAAAACAACTATCTAGATGCTATTAATTTTAAAATTCCTTTCTCCTAAAGGCAGCTATTTCACTTCAGGAAGGCAAGCACAGAGGATTGCCATCACTGTCTTTATGTAACCATTAACTCTCATGGAGTCTTCCTCTTACACTTGTGATGTAAATCTCAGATGATGACTCAAGAAAAGCTGCATCACTAATAACTAAACCTGAATTAATTTCAACAACTTTGGATAACCTCCAGATGCTCCAGGCACGTACAAAGAGGAGGAGGGATCTTCATGGCTGCTTTTACACATAGCACACCCTAATATAAAAAAAAAACAAACCCTCTCCTGCACTGCATATCAAGTTTTCCTATTATATAGTTAGGAAAAAAGCTTGGATTTTCCAGACTACAGATAGAGCTGCTTCTAGGTGTGAAAGTTCTCTCCATCTTTGTGACAATGAGATGCAGCTGCCTAAGGCCATACACAGCAGATACAAATTACTTTTCCTCACTGTTAATTTGGAGGATTAAACTGAGCATGTTTAAATATGACCTTTCTTTCATATGGGAAAACATCCTGTGAAAAAGAAATCCTTCCCCTCGGACTTAAAACTTCTGACACCTTGTAGGCCTTATCTTAAATACTAGCCAAAAGGCAGCTCTTAAAATCACCAAAAAAAAGCAAAGGTTATCAAAAGAATAACTGTCTCTGTGTATTTTAGAGGGAATAATTTGAATTTCCTAAGAGTTTTCACAAGGCAATACCCCAAGAGCTACATTTGGTAGAACCAAGTTCACATTCTGATGGTTGTATTCTTGCACACGTGTTCTCATGCAGAAGTTTACCACAAAAGTGTTAAGGCAGGGGAGCCAGATAGGCATGAAAACAATCAACACCTAACTGCTCCTGGGTTTCCAAAAATCTCTCCTCTTCAAGGAAACAGGCATAGGGTGAAGCACTGTTCACAGTGAATACCTGTTAACACCCAATCAATTAATTTATGGCCTGTTTTTACACCTCTGTACCTGAAGGTCTGCAATGCTACTGAGAGATAATGTTGCTCTGCACAGAGATAAAATCCTTTTAACATGTTCCAGTAAAGCCACTGGAAGATGCTTCCCCGTGTCATCCCACATCGGGGCGGGGCGTGGCGTGTGGATTTGAACCTTAAGTCAAGGAACTAGCTCATTTACAGCATCTCAACCACGCATAAATATTCATGAACTGATGTGTTAGTTCACTGCTGGCTTCTTAATTTGCATCTCAAATCTGTCAGTTTGCTCCTAACAATAGTTGTCCTAATTCCCATTAGCAGGCTTTCCCATTCCATCCATCTCCATTGGCCCATGCACAGGTTTTGTGGCATCCCAGGATGAGCCTCCGAAGGAACTAATGAAGGATCCAGGCCCAAGGGAAGAGCTACAATATGTAGCTTTCCATGGAGAAAATGGCTTGGAACTTTCATTATCTACAAGCATTTAGTGTAAACTAAAACTCTGGATAACTGAGCCTGCAGCTGAGATTCGTCCTAATGGTAAATGATTTTCCTCATCTGAAAACTGGAAAGGTTTCTTTTTCTGCCACATGAAAGTTGCACTCCTTCTCCTTTCCCAGCTGTATATATATGGATTATCCAAATCCAGTTGGAGACAGGAGGTTCAACAGAGGAGGCCTGTATCATTGTGAATTATATTCAGGCCAGTACCCTAAAGGTATCAGAAATAGAGACAGTGAAGGCTAACAGTATCCTAGCAGAAAAAAAAAATACCTCATGAGTTGTTTTTTTAACGTTCAGCCATGTGGAGTAATATTGCTGTGTCAGGAGATCTTATCAGCAACGTCCAATATTTTTCCACTATACTTTAAGGCAAGGCTTTTTCAAATTAATTAGCAAAGTCTCTGAAGGAAAATTATCTACATTATCTACATCCATGCAGTTGGATCGATTTCCCCACACACACACACACACTGTGTTTATGTAGAAGATAAAGACAGTGATTGTCTGAGCTAGCTGTTGGATACCTGGTACAAACACAAAGTCACTCACCTACAACCTGGATTATTTCAGCTAACAGGACTCCATCAGTCACATCTTGCTGTAAATCCTTTATCAATCTCTTGTGACCAGATTTTGCCAGATAATGATTAGCCCAATCCGTATAAATCTGTCAGGAGAAAGATAAACAAAAATAAACTGTTACTCATAACACAACCTTAAAGATGAGAGTTCTTTGTTTCTCTCAGTATGCAAAAGGCTGATAGAACATCACCGCATTTTTTTTTTTCCTCTTTGAGACAAGTCAACAGCATTAAAATTCAAGGCAGTGTGCAGATCAAGTGTTCAGCTCTCTGCAGTGTGGATATTCCTATTCTGCAATCTGACATCAAAGCTCGTGGAAGATGATGGCAAACTCCTGAACGTGTTACAGCTTGAGCGGATCATCAGGAGGTCAAGGGAATATTCTGCAGCTGCAGTGACTGTGTAGAAGACACTTCAATTTCCACCCAGGTTATTTTGCATTTTCCCTTTGACATTTTTTCTTGACGGTTACCACTGAGGAAGTTTGAAGATTCTTTTCCCAAAAACACTCCTAGTAGGTATTAGCCACGTAACAGTTTCATTGTGAGGAAACTCCTTTGTTAATATTACAAAAGAAACCTTTCAAGGCCCTAAAAATCCACCAATTCTAATAAATTCTATCTCACAGGTTGAACAGGGCCTATTGAATTGCTTTTAATCTCTTGTGCAAACTTCTAACTGTTGGGATTTATTTCAGAATGTATTCTCTGAAAATTAAGCACACAAAGCAGTCAAAAATCTCTCTAATTTGCATTAAGTACTGCTCATCACATGCCAGCACAACTTCTTCAAGATCACCAGGAAACTCATAAAACTTTTCGTGCTAGGTTAACGAAAAGAGGCTAAATCACTTGATTAGGAATTTCTGCTTATGAACTGAGTAACGTTTCCTGTTCTTCACATAGGACAAAATTTAAAATTTAAGATTTTTTTTTTACGTGATCTACTTACACTCCAAAGCAACAAGGCAAACACAATTAAATATCAGCATTTTACCTTTCAAATACCTAAATGTTAAGGTTCACCCCTACTCTGAAGAAATACATTCACCCCAGTTCGATCTATCAGTAAGCAGGTGGAGATCCAAAGCGCTTTCTAGAGCACGACCCATCCCAACACTCCACAGACCCTCTCAACCACCGTGCTGATGACAAATGCCTCACACCAGTGTGTGAGTCACTGGCCTGGAAGGAAGTGTCCACACAGCAGTATTCAGCCCCCAGAAGCCCAGGGAAAGCCCTCCTGCTTTCAGGATCTACTGTTTTCCTTCACTACTTCTGATGGAAAGACCACAAGGAGAAAGGGCCTGAACCCTCAGGTTTTGAAGAGTTCTACCCCAAGCCTTCAAGGGAGCAGATGGAAACGATGGCCACTACAATCGGGTTCTGTCTGCTGGCAAAGCATCGTTGAAACAAAACATGGGTTCAGTCGCTCCCCCTTCCATCATCCCACTCCTGAGCTGTGCAGCTCCCCATATCCCAGAATCACAGAATGGTCTGGGTTAAAAGGGACCTTAAAGATCATTCAGTTCCAACCCCCTGCCATGGGCAGGGACACCTTCCACTAGATCAGGTCGCTCCAAGCCCCGTCCAACCTGGCCTTGAACACTTCCAGGTCTGGGGCAGCCACAGCTTCTCTGGGCCACCTGTGCCAGGGCCTCCCCACCCTCACAGGAAAGAATTTCTTCACTATTTCTAATTTAACTTGCCCTCTTTTCAGTTTAAAGCCATTCCCCCTCATCCTATCACTCCAGGCCCTTATCCAAAATCCCTCTCCAGCTCCCTTGGGGCCCACTTATGTACTGGGAAGTGCTAGAAGGTCTCCCCAGAGCCTTCTTGTCTCCAAGCTGAACAACCCCAACTTTAGGAGAGGTGCTCCAGCTCTCTGATCATATTCATGGACCTCCTCTTGCACTCACTCCAGTAGGTCCACATCCTTCTTGTGCTGGGGGCCCCAGAGCTGATCAATGCAGATCCCCTAAATGACTGACTGATGTGGCTGAACACAGACACAGCTACCAACCTCAGGAGTATCTTAAGCCTTGCTTTTTCTGTGTGATGATCATGTCCTCCTTCACGAGAGTCAAAAGCCAACTGCCAAGCCTAAGGGTCAAGTATTTGTCATGAGATGGAGGAACCCGGATATAACACAAGGATTGTAATTTCACACTCCTCTTTCTGATTCGATGTTAACACGATCAAATGAACAGAGATTTTGACTGGAGTTTTTGGTTATAAAGTCTTCATTTGTGTTTTTTGTTGTTGTTGTTTGGTTGGTTTTTTGGTTTTGTTTTTTTTAAAAAAAAAAAAACTGTGAAACACTACTGGTAGCAGCCATGCACAAATCACTCAACATCTGAAACATATGTCCCTGTTTTCCACCATTCATCCTTTACTTTCCTCTTCAGAGCAGCGGGATGTGCATTTCCATGCCAACAGCATCATGGACTTAAAACAGAAAAACACACCTGTGATAAAAACAGGGCTGAAAAAACACCTCAATGAAATAAATGAGTGATTTCCCCAGCAGACCAATAAAAGAAGAGGGACAAGAAACCCTCACTGCACTAACCAGGCATTGTGTTCCTTAGCCCCTTACACAAGAAAACATTTTCCATAACAGGAAGATACTTGAAAAGATCCAGCGACTTCAAGGAACTAGGATTCACTTAACCTACTTTTCTGCCACGTGGTTTTAGCTTGCTTATCTACAAGTAAAGACACACGAGGAAACAGGTTGTAAACTACTTACTTTGCAAGAGCAAGGTTCCACACACACCCCTACACCGTTCCTGCAATTTAGCTGACAAGCAACTTATCAAACACAATAACCACGTTTCCTTTAATGAGAGGCCTGCAATCCATGTCCTAATTTATCCCAGAGTGACTTTCAGCAACTTTATGATTACACTTTGATGCACCAGTTCCATCCTGGATCATTTCCATGATGCAGATCATCCTGCATGATCCTTGGATCAGCCCCAGAGTTAAAACAGGAGCAGATCCCTCCTGGCAGAGCCTGAAATCACAGCAATGGCAAGACCTTGAGAGCTGGTTAGGGTTGATTTTTAAGTCAAATAACAATGTGAGAATGCACGGTTGGCATTGCAAAACTGCTATGCCGTACTTGTTTCCTACCTACCTAATTCCTGTTGCATCCAGGAAGATCAGAACTTCTATATTCATACCCTGTAAATAAACACTGCATCAAAGAAATCCCTAATTCCCTTAAATGCTCCTGGTAAAGGAGACAACTTGAAAGAAATCAAATAAATACCCACTGCCTGATTCACTGTCCATGACAAAACAAAGAAACTCCCTCTAATGGCAAATTATCCTCGTAAACCCCCCTTTGGTGCTGAAGTCAGTCTGTGTTTGGTATCCGAACTACGAGCAGAGCTTTTATGTTTAGTACAAAATATTCCATTAAATGCACACCAGTACAGAGGAAATATTTGTTTCTGGGGTATTTAAGGGTGCAGAACATTATTTCACTCCAGTAGTTGATTAGGAAAGCCTTTTGCAGGGAAATACAGACACAATCAATCTCTCCTCCTCTTAAAAGTGCTATTACACAACATTATTTTGCAACATGCATAACATGCAAATTATTACTGTTCTTTAACTGACTGGGCCATATATTTACAAGCCCTATCCAGGTTTATTGCAATAGCTCTTTGTGGTTGTTGCTGATTTTTATGGCATATATTAAGCTAATCATGGAAACTTTCCAGGATGTTTTCAAAACCTGTTTGTTGCAAGTCTTTGTAATGTACTAAACAAATACGATTCCTAATGTTTCTTTTCCTTTTCCATACAAACAAGTGAAAAAAATATAATTGTACAATGGCTGCTATTTCTAGACACATAAAATATGTTTCAAAGCACACAGTGTTTTCCAATGTTCAAAACCAAGCAAATAAATGGGAAAACAATAATAAAAGAAATAGGAAATCACTGCTGAGAAACTTTCCATTTTCCTATCTTGGCACGTGAATTCTGAGTGTTCCTCAGGTATTTTCAGCAAAGGGGCTACAAAGTCACAATTGAATATTCACATGAAAACCACCTGAACAGTTGTCTAATTAAAAAAAAAAAAAAAAACAACATAAAAATCTTATGATATGGAACATTTGACCCAAGAGATATTGCCTAATTATATACACCAGTATGGGCTTTTAAAACTTTTCAGGGATTTTATACAGTATGAAAATCACTGAAAGCACCTTCATTATTCTACTCACAAAAATCAAGTGAACATCATGATTTGGGCATTAATCACTATAAGCAGGTCTTTGTGTCCAAGTCAGTTTAATTTTTAACTTGGATTAAAGTTCGAGCTTTTTTTAAAGGTGGACTCAGCTGTTTGGTAGCTTTTTTTTTCTCTCTCTCTTAGGAATCCAATTATCTGAGAACAAATGAAAAACAAATGTGAAAGACTTCTTTCTTTTCCCTTCAATCCATCAGATTTGAATTAGGAGTGTTACAGTTAAGCATTGATTTTGGAAATATTCAGTACTTTATGAGCCAGAGCTAAAACACTACCGAAAAAATCAGTGGGGTTTTGAGCAAAAAAAAAAAAAAAATATCCAAATTCTAAAGCTTTTGAAAGCTGTCTGTAAAGGAAAAGACCTGAATGCTGTCTTCCATTAATAAGATTAAAGATTTTAGAAATTTAGTTGGGTTTCTCCTTGCTTCCCTTTCCTTAACCTCATACCCCCCTTGTTTTAAAGGGAGTTTCAGAGAAGAGAGAAATTTTGCTTTCTAGTTCGGAGATCCCTGAAATTTCCTGGCAAAAAGCAAAAACTCTGAAGCTTTTGTCCACCTTAGAGTAATTCATACAGGTTTTTCTTAGCCTTGGAAAAAAAGGAAAATCAAACAAAAAGCAAAAAATAAACTAGAGCTTGCCTGGCCAGCCTTAACAGCCTGAAGCTGGCATGTCAAACCACAGTATTCCTCTCTCCATATACCACTTGGAGGCAGCAGGCTGATACCTGGGTGGTTCTTCTTGATCTGCTGGTAGGTAAAGGCCAAACACAGCACCTGCAGGACCTATATTCCTCTGTTCCCATAGCCAGTCAAACCC